AGCGCATGGTTTTCGGCAAGGGTAAGAGCTAGAAAAGAACTTAACATTGGCGAGTTGACGGCGCATTGATTCCGAAGATGTTTAATAAGATCGATGGTTGTCCGGAACGTTCGCTGACATCGCGGACAGGTCGGGGGCGGTTGAGCGTTGAGATCGAGGGGTGGGGGAAGTTGAGACCTGCGAGCTTCACGTTTGACACCGTTGAGGTTGACTTCGTAGATTGCTGTGCCCGTCTTCACTGTCCTCTTCCAGGTTGGTCGGTCTGGTGTAAGGTCTCCCCAGTTGGTCGCGTGGATCTGCAGACGCTTCAAGGAAGTCTGTTGGGGGGATCTGGTAAATCATAAGTTGTCCTGCTTCTCCGCGGAAACCCGTGGTGAAGTCTCAATGGAAGAGTCGTTTGGGTAGACGCCCATCGTCCATCCGCACGAGGCAGCCGCCCCAGCGCAAGTGCAATTGTGTCGGCATGGCGTGGACGCTGAGGATTCTTGTCCGTTCCAGAATGGTCGTGCCCGGAATCCGATCCTGCCATCTCAGCTTTTGCATCTGTTGGAGACAGCCGATGTAAAAGTGGTTGAGCCTCCACGTCTGCTTCTTGTAAACCACGCAGGTTTCCTCTCCATACAGCAGCGTCGGCAGGATGACTGCTTTGTACATCTTGAGTTTGGCGCTGAGACAGAGACCGCGACGAATCCAGACGGTGTTTTGTAAGCGACCGAAGGTTCAGCTGGCCTTCGAACTCCGGCGGGCCACTTCATTCCCGATTTTCGTGCAGTAAGAAAAGGTGCTGTCAAAAAATTGAAGTTATCCACGGCTTGCAGTTGGGTGCCGTCCACGTTCATTTGGGCAACGTCGGGTGGCGGTTGGTGCACGGCCACCGTTTTCCCCGTGTTGATGACCAGGCCGAAAATGTCGCAGGCGGCGGCGAAGATGTCCATGCTCCTTTGCATGTCCCCTTAGGAAGTGGCGTTTAGGCTGCAGTCGTCGGCGAACAGAAGTTCATGGACGGAAGTTGTGAGCACATGCGACTGGAACTGCATCCGCCGCTGACTGTGGAGCTGGCCATCCGTTCTGTAGGCGACGCGAATCCCGGTGCAGCTTTCACAATAGGCGTTTATTAGCATGACCGTGAGTATGAGGCCAAGGACGCAGCCCTGCTTCACTCCGTTGGTTATTGCGAATGCCTCTAAGACGGCTGCATTACCCGTGACGCGCGCCGTTATGCCCTCGTGAAGCTGACGCGCCATCTGAATGAATCGCTCCGGACCGTCGAATTTCTGCATGATTTTCCACAGTCCTTCGCGATTCACCGTCGTCGGATTCACGAGGGTAGAGTAGAGATAGATCTGCCTCTTCTGACACTTCTCCTGCAGTTGGCGGACGGAGAAGATCATGCCAGCGCTACCGCGATGGCGGCGGGTCCCCATTGACTTTTTGAAAGGAGTTCTTATTTCAGATGTTTGTTGAGACGATCGAGGAGGATGTGGGCGAAGATTTTCCTGGCGATGCTGAGGAGGGAGATGCCCCTATGGTTTACGCAGAGTTGACGGTTCCATTTCCGCTTGTACTGATGGTCGATTGTGACGTTCTTTTAACCTTGAGCTAGTTTTCGTTGACATCATGTCCTCCGGAAGAACGTTGTTAGATGATCTGAGTTGGGGACTACGATGCTTGTAGATTTCAACAAGGATCGCGTCCGATGCAGGCGCTTTACTGCTAGAGAGTCGCTGCGCAGCCCTAGTGATTCCGTGGAGAGAGGGCGGGAGGTCGAGGTCGGCGTTGGTCTTCGCTTGAGACAGACGGGCGATGGCGGCATCGGGGATGGAGGAGGGACGGTTGAGGACGAATCGGGAGTTCAGAAGATGAAGATGCGATCACTGGAACAAGAAATTTATTTGCCTGACGTTTCGGATTCTCAATCGAATCCATCATCAGAGATACTCGAAGATAAAGGTGATCGTGGCACCAGGAGTGCAGTAGTTATAGCACGTGGCTGCCGTGGGACCGTATGCGCACTGAAATTAACAGTTCTCGCAATCACCACTGGGGTCGTAATTGATGCGGTGGTGGCTTGTCGGTCCGAGTCCAAGTCGTTAATTGCCCCGATTTCGTCATCCGTGCTGGATGCTGGTGTGACGATTGCTCGGCAAACTGGCTCACTGTCACCGTGATGATTGCTCGCCCGCGCCCTCCCCACGTGACTGATTCTTCTGCCCAGGGAAAATCCCAGCACGGAATATGGTACCGGGAGGTCATTGTGCTTGTTGATGGATTGCGGGCCTGCGAACCATGACTCGAGCAGCTCGTGGCTCACGCGGTTATCAGCCCTTGCAAGGATTTCGGCCTCTTGGAATTTGAAAATATGGCCGGGTCCCGTCGAGTGTGCCGCCACCTGAGAGTTAGCGTCTCCCCACCTGACTGCTGCTGCGTGCTCGGCAATTCGCGTACGGAGTAATCTCCCAGTTTCTCCGACATAATTGCTTTGTCCGCAACTACACCAGATCCGGTAATTCAGCATGCTGAATTACAATATCTTCGACGGGTAATGAGAGCCAATGGTTACCCGCGCAACTTTGTCAACCAGTGCATACGAAAAGGACACCAGAGACCAAATCCAACCGGCCCCAAATTTTAGTGGGATGTTCCGTACGTGAAGAACGTCTCGGAAGCCGTCAGTCGTCTTCTCACTCCACTTGGAGTTGGGGTTGCACACAGGCCGGAAGCAACCATCTTTATCTTCTGAACTGCTACCTGGAACTCGCCTGTTCGCTTCTATCAACGTATTGGAAGTGTCCCGCCTATCGCTGTATAATTTGCGACTTCTCAGTGAGTAGGCTGCTGCGGTCGGCGCAGAGGAGAAGAGCAGTGTCTTTGGTTGGCGGACCGTATACAGCTTTGGTCGCAGAGAAGAAGTTCATCCATTCGTTGTAACCCACGTATCCCTGGATCTCCTCGGCCTTGCGAGCTGTCCAGGCGTCCTGCATCTCCTGCAGCCGCTGTTGCGAAAAGTGGCGACTACGGTAGAAAGATGCTTTGTTGTCATAGGTAAAAAGGTTGACGTAGGCTTTGTGTAGTCGAATTTTCACGACGAGCAGGTTGCTGGTGGCGGCGTCGTTGTCATCAAACCAGTCCTGGTGCCGGCGACGGGCGCGACTGAGGACAGCTAGGGCAGTCGACTAGACTGTGTCCCTCAGTTTGCACCCTTAACTCTCCACGGAGACGATCTCATCGGCGGCAGTGGCGGCTACTGGAAGGTTGGCTAGCCGTTAAGCAAGCTCATTGCCGAAGTGAAAGTGGCAAGCAGGCACAGAAAACAAATCAATATTCAACTTACAAAGATATGCTCCACATAATGGGTCCAGTACTTCGGTCTGTGGTGTTGGAAGACCAGCGACTCTAACCGTTGCAGGACCGCCTCGGCGATAAATCCCGAAATCGGCGAACCCATTGGTGTGCCCTTCACCTGTTCGTAGATTGTCCCGTCGAACTTGAAGTACGTCCTGAGACAGAACTTCAGGAGCTGAAGGACTTGGGCGTGTCAAAGACGATTTTCAGTTTCATCGTATTTGCTTTGTAGAAGCAGCTCGATTGTCTCGATCGTCAGATCCTGGGGAATAGAAGTAAAAATGGATGTAACATCAAAAGATACCATGACCTCATTTGGATGGAGGCTTACCCCTTTGAGTTTCTTCAGGAATTGTGCTGACGAAGAGACCGCGGTGCCTAATTCAGAGGTCAGGAACTTCAGACGCCGGAACAGCCAATTAGCCAGTCCGTACGTTAGAGTACCTTTGGGCGACACGTTAGGTTGGAGAGTAGCGCCGTCTTTGTGCACCTTAGGGAGGCCATAGAATCATGCCAAAGCCGTATCTTGGGGTCTCGCCATGCGTCTGTCGGTCGGTGTTATTGTCCCATATGTAACGAACCCTGTAAAAACGCTGACACGTGAAAATAATGCTACGTTGTTGGCATAGGAGGACTCAGGTGAAGGGGGGAAGCCGAGAATATTCAAAGGTATGCGGTAGCTTGACGTATACATCCTATAAATAGCGCAACCCCTTGAGCATGAACCACCCGTAGCTGCTTTTGTTTCTGATGATGGGTCCGAGCAGGAATCCGAAACGTCAGGCTAATAAAGCTCTTGTCCCAACGATCGTGTCTCCTTCTTCAAGATGACCACTTTATAGCGCGCCATTTCCCGAGCGACTTATGTCGTCATTCGTGCCGGCCGGCTTCTCCTGGAATTGTCTAAAAGGGAATATACATTCCAGGCTGCAAGAGTGTACGGACTCACCCTACCATCCTGTGGGGCAGAGGGGAGGATGAGGAGGACGCGCGCGCTTCGAATTTGGTTTCAAATTTTCATCCTCCGAGGGGTTAATATTCTTCGAGATTTCCGCACTCTGGATGCTCCTGCAGTCAACTGGATTTTAGAAAATTGAATCACAGACAGCAATATTCGCATCGTCATCAATTTACGACACCACCTTTTCAGAACGTGGACTTCGACACTACCAGTTCTGCATACGAGCCTAAAAAGACCAATCTTCCAACAAACGAAACGCTTTGAATAAATTCTACAAAGGCTGAGTCTCACTTCGAAATTCGACATTAGCTGTACCTTTGCTTCAAAGCATTAGCTTAAATTTCCGTTAACTGCAGTACCGTTAAATTCGACTAGGTTTCTGTTGTCTGAAGTCTCGAAGCATTCGCTTAGATTTCCGTTGCCTAAAGCTTCCCTGACATCTGAAAGCCCTAGACCTTCTTTTGATTGTGTCTGTCTTCTGCTGCCAACCTTTCGGCCGTTGTTGTATCCTTGAATTTGGCGCTATGAGACATGGGAAATGTAGAAGTGTACGATCCATCAGTCCCGCGGGATGAAAGAAGGCGTGGAGAGAGAGAATCAAACCTCCGATCATCGCCTCACGAAGCGAACGCCTAGATACCTCGGCCAACGGCGCCGATGGGCGGCCTCAAAGAATATTAATTGCATTAGTCCCATGGTTGGGGAATGTGTCGGATTTGGCCATGAACATAGTGCACTAGCAACTCCATGCGGACCAGCGTCGATTCACGTCGGGCAGGGAGGATCTGACGCGGTGTAAATATTGTCGAGATCTCGCGTTAAACATTACGTCGTTGGAGACGAACATGAACCTCCTTATAGATCTCATTGCATTGTTACTAAAGTATGATAAATTCAGGTCAATTGATGAATTCAGCATCAGCCAACAGATAGTTTCGAAACTTTCAGAGTTGACTAACAGCAACCCACTAGTAGAGGGATCACCGTTTCAGGAGATCGCTGGCTGCAGAAATAAACAGTGTGCTAAGAGAAAAGGTAAACGGAAACATGAACATACAGCCTCACCCTCACCAAGAGCGATGATAAACGACACTCCAAAATCGCAAACTAAGTTGCGAAGTGATAATGGCGGTACACTCTCATCATCGATAACTACCCAGCTGAAGAACAATGACCAGCTCACTGGCAGATTAGAAGCTGTCCGATCTCCACCACAGAAGAAGGTAAAAGGATTCGACATAGAAAAGACTACCGCATGGACGGAAACCTCAGAGGAAATCGCGGAGAATATGACAAGGCATGATATTAATCTGCCGCAGAAGAGCAGAAAGCAGACGATCACCACCCCCCGCAATCTGACCGAGGAGAACCAAGGAATTAATAACAAGACTCAGACCGTTCACATGCAACTGAGGTCACATCAAAAGAAGCAGTTAAATCAAAGGGGACTGATGACTGAAAAGAGAGAGACGGAAATCAGACGACTTCGGAGTACTCGAAGAAAGGAACTTCCTAGGGTGGAAAAGCAGAGCTCGTCTGAGCAATCGACAGAAACCTCCAGCGCCGGCATAGACACAGACGCGGCAAATGCGAATATCCTCTGTATTGGCATAAAAGACAGGAGGAGTAATGCCCCAAACACGATACCATTAGCTGCAGAAGAGATCCCTGGAGTGGATGGCAACCAGAATGTCATCATGAATGGTTCACCAGGAACCTTCAAGTCACCAACATCACGCAACCAAGACCTACCGCTCCGAGAACAGTGCCTAGTAATACAGGGACTTCAGGAGCCTCAAGCAGATCTCGGCTTGTTCCAAGGTCTTCTAAACACACTGCTTCAACCCGACGAAGAAATTTCCGTGTTGAAAGCCTTCAGACTCGGAAAGCGCTCTACTGAATCCGCTATTCCACCGCATCCTAGGCCCCTTAAAATTGTTCTGAGTTGCAAAGAGCATGTTGATCTCATCCTCTCAAGACGTTTTAGGTTAAAATATTCCCACCAAGGAGTTTTTTTTCAGCCGGATTACACACCACCGGAGCGGATAAAACGCCGACAGTTAGTTCAGGAGCTAAGGCTGCGACAAATGAATTGCGAACAAGGCCTGGTTATCTACAACTGCATAATCGAGCGACCGTCCCGCTTCATATGGACACGGCCCGTGCGTATGACGCCACAGCCGAGACAATTGGCAAAGGCGGCGTCATAGCCGGCTTACCAAAGGAAAAAAAGCTAAAATGCTTATATTCCAATGCGCAAAGTATGCTATCTAAATTAGATGAGCTTAAGATCTACGTTAACCAAACCTTACCCGATGTTATATCCAAAACTGAAACGTAACTGTCCGCGAGCGTAGACGATTGCGAAGTCGCTTTATCTGGTTATCACTTGTTCAGAAAGGACAGGTTGGGACGTCAAGGTGGAGGTGTGCTCGTGTATGTCAAATATGGCCTTTTTGCGGCAGCAAAAAAGGCACAGCTCGCGCGAACAACTGAAACAATTTGGCTCACCGTCAAAACGCCGGGGTCACAACCTCTCGAGATCCTGACGATCTACCGCCCACCGAGGAACGACCCGCAATCAGACAGTAGTCTACTAGAGGAATTAGAAGCGATTTCGCTCCGACCCAATGTCATGATTATGGGCGACTTTAACACTCCGAATATCGACTGGAATCTGACTTCTGCCCCGGGCTCAGAATTTAACTTTGATCGCCGCCTCCTAAAATCTGTGCAAAGATCGCATCTCACACAACACGTCTTATCCCCAACCAGACTACGTGAAGGACAACTAGCTAACTGCTTAGACCTTGTATTGACAAAGGCACCGGAAAGCGTTGATGTTGTAAACTGTCTACCCCCTCTCGGAAAAAGCGACCATGTAGTCCTACAGTGGGAGTATTCTCTCTTCTCTGTACCCGATCAAAGCATCGTGATTAGACGCAACATATGGCGTGGTGACTTCAACCAAATGCGTCTCGACATGCGTCGTAGAGACTGAAAAGCAGCATTTACGGGGTGTGCCCTCAAGGACTGGCTAGAACTTAAGGCCATACTGAATGAACTTATCACCAGATACTGCTCTATGTCGAAAAAGAAAATCACCAGCAGGCCCCGATGGCTAAAGGGTTCACTAAAAGTTGAAGTAAACCGTAAGCAAAAGCTGTGGAAAGCATATCTTAGGGACAAGACAAATGAATCAAGAAATAGGTACAAGGCTCAGCGGAATAGGGTAAAGTGCGTTGTTTACAAAGCCCGCCAAGACTTCGAGGGTAACCTTTTAAACTGTGCAGGAGAAAACCCAAAGCTTTTCTTCAACTACATAAGACAAAGTACTCGCAACAGGGATCCCATCCCTATGCTAAAAACTGATGATGGCGTTGAACTTTACAAGGACGACGAAAAGGCTGAGCATCTGTCCAGGTTCTTTCAGTCGGTTTTTACGAGAGAAGTCGCTGTACCCACTGATCACTGTAATGTGGACAATGTCCCGACAATTGACTCAGTGGTTCTCACAAAACCTATTGTTCAACAGGAATTACTGAAGCTAAAAGAAGGGACTTCGCCCGATCCTGACAAAATACCGGCAAAGTTGTTGAAGGAATTAGCCACAGAATTGGCAGAACCTCTGAGCGTCCTCTTCCAAGCCTCTCTTGATGCAGGCAGACTGCCTCCTGAGTGGAAGACTGCGTGGATTTCACCGATTCATAAAAATGGCAGTCGAGCTTCCGCAAACAACTACCGACCAGTAAGCCTCACCTCCATATGCTGCAAAGTTATGGAGCGAATTATCAAACGCGAACTGATGCGGTTTTTAGAGCAAAATTATCTTCTGTGCGATGCACAGCACGGTTTCTGCGGAGGGAGGTCCTGCTTGACCAATCTACTCTACTGTCTTGAACAGTGGACCCGAGCGATTGATGAAGGAAACGTTGTGCATGTGGCCTACGTAGACCTCAAGAAGGCCTTTGACAGCGTGCCACGACAACGTCTCCTATACAAGCTCAGCCGCATAGGGGTAAGAGGCAAGCTTTTGAAGTGGATTGAAAACTTTTTGGTCGGTCGGTCCCAGACTGTTCGTCTTGGTGGCCAGCAATCGGCAGAGGTGACGGTTACGAGCGGAGTACCTCAGGGCTCCGTTC